TACCTCAACTTTATCGACTTTGAGAAGGCCTTTGACAGCGTCGACCGAGAGGCAATTTGGAAACTGCTTCAATACTACGGAATACCGCAAACCTTCATCAGCCTCATTCAACAACTATATGAAGATGCCACATGCCAGCCAAGTAATTCACAATAGAAAGCTCAGTGATGCTTTTGAAGTGAGGACAGGAAGGAGTGAAACAAGGTTGCCTACTATCCCCCATGATATCCTTGATTGTGGTCGACTGGATCATGCAGCAGACAACAGTGGGGAGCGAGAAGAGGGAGATACGCTGGCTGGACAGTGGAAAAGAACCTAGAAGACTTGGATTTCACCGATGACTTATGTCTGATGTCACACAAATTTGAAGATCTACAGGCAAAAACTAACAAGTTGGTGGAAGAGGCGAGGCAGCGAAGGGAGACGGGACTTCAAGTGAATATAGAGAAGACAGAAATGATGAAGATACCGCACCAACAACTCCAACAAAAAACTCCAACCACCATCAACCGGAGAAACTTAAAGGAAGTAGCCTCCTTCACCTATCTAGGAAGCATTGTTTCAACTACAGGTAGTGGCACAGACGAAGATGCTAAAGTCAGAATCGGAAAAGCAAGACAGGCGTTCATTAGCCTGAAACCAGTGTGGAGATCTTCTGCACTGCACTCAGCATGTGGAACAACATCCGGATTTTCAACACCAACATCAAATCAGTGCTTCTGTATGGTTCAGAGACTTGGCGCGTTACGAAAGGGATTTCCAATCAACTACACACATTCATCAACAACTGCTTACGCTGGCTCGCTACTGAAGATCAGATGGATTGCCAGAAAGAATAAGCAACAAGGAACTCTGGGAACGAACCAACCAACAACCTATCACTCAACAGATATGCAGAAGGAAGTGGAGATGGATTAAATTGGGCATACACTGAGAAGGCCGACTGGAGACATCACGTGTCAGGCCCTCGAGTGGAATCTCCATGGGAAGCGATGAGTTGGGCGTCTGAGGTGAGGGTGACATGGAGGAGATGGTGCGAGGAGGAAATTAGAGCTTGTGGGCTGTCTTGGAGCCAGGTCCAAAAGGTTTCAGAGAACAGAGTGGAATGGAGACGTGCTACTGAAGTCCTATGTTCCATTAGGAACCCAAGGGACTAATAATAATAATGGACATGGCCCTTATACTAGCGCATGTATTTTGAACTACTGCTCGGAAAATAGAAAAAACTCAGGAATGAAGAAGCATTGGATGTATTATGATTTCGGGCTTATTTTCGGCAACGGCAAAGTGAGTTTGAGCATCCCAGATTATGTTACCAATCTGTAGGGAATATGTGTGACTAGTCCGTAACCTTTCACCAACTCTGCTTAACTTGATGCTCTCCAGTACCTGTTTAACCAGTACCTTACCTAACGTGTAAGTACTGATAACGAAACACAAATCAAAAGGACTGGTTCAGGAATATATTTGAAGAATTTATGTGTTTAATTAGAGTAAATGTAATAGTAACAAATAAGGGAAACGTTTATTCATCTTATCTGGCTAGTATGGCTGAGCTAGGGACTCTGAGTACGTGCGTGCCAACCACCACTAAGGAGGCGCAAAACGTCCTCCAAGCCTGCTCGTTAAAACAAAACTTAAAACACCTAAAGCATCCGGAGGCGAGCTAGAGGTTTGTTTACTTAATTTAATTTAATCTATTTATTTTGGCCCTAGTTGTATTTTGGTGCCAGGAAGGTGCACTACAAATCAAATCACAAGCGATGCTAAAAAATTATAGACATCCGGGCAATAGATTTTGCGAATGTTCTGAAAAAGGTTGAGCCCCGACTCAGGTTGATTCATTATATAAATTTTAATATAATCCCAGCGTGTTTAAAAAATTGAAAACAAGATTTTCTAAACCCACATGATGTTAAAAGTGTCTTAAAAACCGTGAAAACAAACATTATTCGTGCTGTAAGGAAATAAGAGAAAACTTTTCTGTCAAGTGTTACGCATTCGTAAAAAAACATGTAATAATCTATTATTTTAATATCAAAAGTATGACGCTGAAGATTGATAATGGGGACTGGTATGAGCTGCCATTTTTGTCAGAAAGCACAGTATGATTGCCAAGCGTTTCAGATAGAGGGTACTTAGTAGTTTAAAAAGTTATGCACATCACTAGGTGCCTGGAAAAAGTTTCTCTAGGAGCAGGTTCATCGTATAGTCCTGAAACGGCTGGTGAGTGATTATTAACAGCTGTCTGTAAGTAGCATATGACTTTTTAGGTTGCAAGTTTACATGTCATCCATGATAAAAGTTTATGCTTAGTACATTTACTACCTAATATTTTGCGACTTTCCCGCCAAATCTTAACATTTATCTTCGGTTGCAGACTTTGTACCCTAATTTTAGGTGGTTGTCTTTTAAGCGCTTCTTCTCTCTTAAGTCTCCGTCTGATAAAAATGTTGAATGTAATAGGTTCCTTATTTGAAGCAAGATTATTCAGTCCAGTTATTGTTGTTTCTTCTGTTCATAGGTGATGAAGCAACGATATGCAACATCGAAAAGAATAATTTCGGATGGAGTACGGAACCTATTGGAAGCTGTACCAACTTCATATTACGCTTACAGCAGTTGTTATCTACGGGTTTTTAGTAACTTTAAAACAACTGGTACAGCTTTCACTCTCTCGATTTTTTCACTTTCTCTTTTGGGTTTTGTCTATTTTATTTACGTGTACGGATAAGTTTATCCAAATGAACCCTCTCGTGCGTTTAAAACCAAGATAATTGAAAATAATCCATTAAAGGATCTTGCAGTTTCTTACGTAGTAGAGAAATTGTCTTTTCAGAAAATGAACAATTATCTAGCAAACTGTTTGCTTCTCGACTGATTACTGTAGTAAAGCAAGCTGCGATTTCGTCATCTTGCAACTTGTTTGATAGACACTGCACATCGAAGCATTCGAGGTAATCTTCGATTTCCCGAAATAAACTGTTAGTAGGTAAATTTCGAGGGTTAGCGAAATCCACTTTGGCAATGTCGAAATGTAACAGATAGTTGGATTGTATTCAGCAGTTACGGAATTCTCACATACTCAACCATTCGACAAAATAAACAAACTCAGGAAATCCTAATCAAACTGCAAACTTTAGTTTAAGACGTGGAAGCTGAGTACATCTAGTATAATTCAGCCTCTTATCTTGTGCTTTATAAACTTTTTCATCTTGCTTATTCTTTCCTATAGTTCCCCTTTATTTTTTCATGAGTTGCTGAGAAGAGACTATGCTTTGTTGCCTAGAACTTTGGAGATTGTCGGCAGAACTAGCAGTGTTTTTTAAAACTTGTGAACAGACATCTTAACTCATATAAAGATCTGGAAGCAGTTATTTTATCTGATGATCAGCATCTACTTCGCCCGAAGCTCTGCGTGTCGATACTCAGGAAGACTAGGAGCAAGTAGACCCAATGCATATGCTAAGTACAAAAATTCCACAGTACCGTACTTAGCTTGGAACCTGTGCGCAGAAGGGAGTGTTAGGAATGAACAGACGAATCAACTTGTCTTTGAAAGTAAACTGATTAAACGTTACACAGCTTCCTGTTATCTGTGTATTACGAATCTAACTGCTACTGTCTACCGAAATCAACTTTGGATCTTCAAGAAATTTGTAAATGGGAAAAATACTATCATCGCTCATATATAATTTCGACTTATTTCATATATTATGCACCAATTGCGTCCAATCGATGCTATATCCAATGCTGAGAATCCTGTGCAGTATTCCGGTAGTATTTTTCAGAACAAAGCCACTATTATTATGCTTAACGGCAAAGTTATGTGTAGTATTGTAAATGGAATAAATAGATTAATGATAGAAAGCAGCCCAAATGGAAACTAGCACTCAAGGTCACCAGCCGCCTAGGTATAAGATTTGGATTGCAACCCCAGGGTAGCAACGACCAGAGTGACTAATAAGGCTGGAAAAGTAGATTTTCATAAAATAGAGAAGTCTAATTGATTATTTCAGTTGTTTCTAGGGTGGCCTTTAAAGTCATTCTAACCTTGGTTTCGTGTGAGCACAAAACTTTATTGAATAATTTCGACCTTTAGCTGGCTGGTGGAAGTAAGTATCCAACTTCTGACTTAGTGATTTCATTTCCTGAGGAAAAACTGTACATAAATAATGTTCTTTCGTCAAAACAGCTGCCTTCCTTGCAGTCAGACTCAGTGAAGTATCAGGTTCTGAGGCAAAACAATCGCTACTCGTATCCAGTTCACGTATCCCGTCGTGTATCTATTATCCAGTCAGTCACCGGTACAAATAAGCGCCAATAATCACAATACACAGTGGCTAGAACAGGGATTTCTCCATGATAAAGTAACTCAAACGTATAATAATATATTTCGAATAATGAATTATACGAACAGATGCCACTTTTACAGATCGAAATATGCCTCAACATGCAGTGCAAACATTGTGTTCAAAGCTGAACGAAACACCTACTCTCAAAATATAGTACATTGGGTCTCATCCTCTGGCTGATGTTCGTGGAGCAGCCGAAATCAAACGGCTGGAGGATCTGTGTGACACTAGCTGGAAGTCAGTTACGGTGAAGTTAGTTCGAATACCCTTTGGTTTTATACTAGCCATGTGAACACGTCCTTTTAATCCTTCCTTGCCTAAGCTGCTCTTATTTTCTATAGTTGTTTACGTTTGATTTTACTACTTTTCCCATGTTTGCTTTGCTTCCTTTGTTTCTTCCGTGTTGGTATGAAGTGTATCAGTTTTAATAAATATGCCGTTATGTAGTGTTTATGTGCACCAGTGTATCACGGGTAGTCAAATAAGACCATTCCATAAGGATGTATGTATCCATCCTCATGGATAAATACACCAAAGGCTGTATCTGTTATACAGACCATTAACGGGAGTTTCATATGCAGTTTATTCCCTTGACAAAAGCAGTTTCGTGAACAAACGAAACTAGGTAAGACAATTCTACAAACTCAACAGAATAAAATGTATTAACAATTTTCTAGGAAATACAATAGATCGAAGCGAGAGTATCGAGGATATTTAAAAATATTAAATCAAATGAATCGTAGATATGCAATACATGATGGTACCAAACTACAACAAGCTGGCAGTTGTATAAATTGTATGTTAGCAAATACGAATCATTAAATTCTGCAGGTGCACTTATTTACATATCCTCCATTCCAGGCATAGGAAAACTGTTGGCAAAGTCAGCAACACGATTACGTAAATCTGCAATCTTCAGTTTGATTTGCTCATCCTCCGAAAGAGCCAGTCGAAAAGTTTTCAGATTTTCTGAAATGTACAAATAAAAACTTACAAACAGGTTCACATAAGTGAATACGGGTAAACAATATCAGTATACCACACTCATTGAAAAATAATGACGATAGGACAATTAGATCCAGAATAATGTGAAAGAAGCAAGTTATCGTGTTTCGGTGATTTCTAAGCTAACAAGAAAAATGAATGAAAAAAATGAAAACCAAGAAAGACCAAGTCTTAGTAATGTTGTGTATTCCAGCTCGGATAATCATCAAACTAAGATACAAATGTTTCTCAATATCTCAAGGATGGGGTTTGTCATACATTTCGAATGAACTAGGTATACGGGGTGCATAACTACGGCAAAACAATTCAGATAACGCCATTCACTTCAGACTAGACCCACTAATTTGACATGAAACATAAATAAGGTTTATCCTCCAGAAGTAAATGAAACACACTTCACACAAAAAAAACAGTATGGTATTTATCACTTATTGTCGGAATACTTCTACTAAAATATCTCTCTGAAGCCGTGGGAATAAGTTGTTTTTGATCATAAGAAACACTAGTTATTGAGGATGTATACTCAAGACATATACGAAAACCCTTAATACCGGGAATAACTACATGTGAATCAGCTACTTTTCCAATATTTGTGAGTAAGATAATACACAAGTATCAACATCTCCTTGTACCTCACAGTGAAACATTTGAACGATCACAAGTATTTATAACACCTTTCCTATCTAAGAGATCTATCTTTTCCTAGTCACCTTTACCTGATTCCATTGTACGTAACTTGCAGAATCAGGATACCATATCACTGATAAGGTTTTAAGAGTTGATGGCACTTTCGGAATCGCAGCCGAACGAAAAGATAATGGCAATCGTCTGCTACAGCAGTATTCAGATAATCACCTACACCTAGCCAGCACGAACTTCACACAAAGAGAGAGAGAGAGAAACATTGTCTGACGTGCCATCCACAGATCTCAACCCAACGGTGAACACAGATAGGCTATATTGCAATTAGTTATCGCTGGAGAGAGTCGGCGGAAGATTGTAGTTCCTTCTAGAGCATGCATATGTCTTCGATGTAGAAAACGTACAGCAAGAAGAGCAGTGAGAGTGCAGTTCGACAATGACAGCACTACGGATGCCTTCAGCGAAAAACTGGTTAGGTAGTTATTGGAACAGAACAAACTAACTCATCCAGAAGAAACAGGCTGCCATCTCTAGCCTGCTATGGAAACAGAGATGAAGACCGTAACCGTAGAGAGTGGTTAAAAAGAGCCAGTGGATGTCAACAGGTTCTAAATTAAAGGATGCACGTGAATGCATCCCTGGAGGCTTCGAGCACCATTAGGGATGAAAGCCACTCAAATGTAGACTGACAAGAAGGTTAACCAGTGACCACGGGTAGTGGTGGGTAGCGAAGGTTCAAAATGGAGTATTGAGATAAACCTCCAACGCTTGCGCAAGTCAAGGAAGTTGTAAACAATCTGAAACAAGGAAGGACAGCAGGGCCAAATGCACTAGCACTGGAAATATTCAAAGACGACGGTAGAGGATTATAGGGCACGTTAGCCGAAGTACTGTCTAGCGTATGGGCTTCAATCACTGACTGTCCCAGTCTTCAAGAAAAGGAGAAATTCTCTTATGATAACCATAAAGGAATCAGCATGACGAACATCGTGTCTGATATAACTATGGACAATAAATTATGTCCGAAGCGTAATCCAGTACACAATACTGTTCCACTGTGTGATAAATCTAATAAATAAATCAAAACAAAATTACATTCTACCAAAGTGCACATGTTTTACTTCTATAATAGTATTTAAAATTCTAGGTTTTATATACAGACATCCAAGTGCAGTTAAGGGAAAGCAAACCCGGAAAAAGCCGCATAGGCTTCGAGCACGTAGACCGAGAGGTCTAATAGCAGTGTTCCTAACTGAAATGGGTATTGGGCAAGTACATCACCCTGTTGAAGGGACCATATTCGAATGCTTGTGCATGTGTTAGAGTCTACAGTGAGTTGTGTAAGCCAAATAGAGTTCATCAGGAATGTCCGCTCACTTCATTCTTACTTAATTTTGATACAGACGCAATGATGGAGATTTCTCTCTCATCGTATGAATCAACAGGAATGGACTATCACTAAGACTCCTTAGTGGACCTACAGTACTCAGATGGCATAGTCCTGTTAGGTGAAGACCCTATGAAGATGCAGAGTCTTCTGAACACCTTAATTAGTAATCGAAGAGTTATTTGAAATGAATCCCTCGCCACCAAAATCCAAATTGCTGCTCCCAAAATAATGTGCGTTGGGCGTATCGACAAATCCACTTACTTGGAAAGACAGATTACCCTTGGTGGGTCAGTGACCAACGAAATTTCTGCACAGATACGACACCTGTAGAGCTGCTGTGATATTCGATTGCTTGAGTGTACTGCAATGCAGTTTGCTGTCCTACTATATGGCTAAGAAAGTGATAGAAGGTGGTCCAAACCGAAATCAGCTAAGGTAGAAGTTTCAAATTTCAACCCTGATTCATGTTGCCGTATGGGGAGGGAAAAATCTTACTGGACAATTTTGTCTTATAGCTACTCAGTCAAAATAAGTATGCAACTTATGACCTAGTGGCTCCATTTTCTGAGGAAAAATCATATGCAGATAATGTATTTTTTATCAAATAAAATTGTCCTCCTTACAGTCACAGACTGGTCCTTGTATTCTGATTTTGATGACTCGGTGAAGTAAAGGGTTCTGAGGGAGAACGGTTACTACTCGTATCTAGTCCAAGTGTCTAATTACGTTAGCAGCGTCCTTGGATTTCGTATTATTTTGTCGTTGCTCACTTCGACTTGGTCGCTTCAGAAACATGACCATTTAAGGTAGAGAACATGAGAACGCTCCAAATGTTAGATAATCGTTGCTTTGATAGTATAGGTCGTGTATTGGTGGTGCCACCAAGTTCATGACATGGATGTTAAACGCGGAGTTCTAGGAAGAAGAGGTAAGTCAATTAACGAGATTGTAAACCTTCATGGACTCATATGGCTGACATATTTTACGCATGCCTTATCGTGCAATGTTAGCTGAAGTTCAGGTTGGAAATAAGGCTACACAGGCGGTCACCGTGGAACATTATATCACTCCATGAAACCTCTGACTTTTGGCTTGAGACGAGCAAGAAAATGTAGATTTTTTGGTTTGGATCTGTGTGACAGTCAAAATCGGTTGTTGGAGACTCTAGGCGATGTGGCTTAGAATCGATCTAAGTGGCGCCAGCGCACACACAAATTATCATCATAATCAAGATATCGAATTTCATCCTTATTTTTCTTCTTCTTGTTCTATGCTCACAACTTTCTAACACTCACCACATTCTCCTTATTTTGTTATCTTTCATCTAAGTGCTTTGTACCTGTAAGTGCCGATATAATGTGTGGCAATATAGACTGTTAGGCAGTACTGCCAGGTCTCACATTGATGCTTACTGATCTATAGCGCTTGACAGGATTTTCTAGACTTCGGAACAATAAAACTTTGAACAGGATCATATCACGCAACAATTCAATGAGATAAATCACGCAAAAAATAACATTAAAGAGAAACCTAAAGTATAAATAGTTGATTAGTATCAACTATGGTCAAAAGTGAATACAAGAAAGCTGATTGTCGGTGTTTTGGTGTTGTATGAATTTTGATATTTTGTCGTGGGCTTTTCATCACCAGGATTAGTGGCATCTTCATCATCATCTATCCTTTCACAAGCTGATTAAAACATCTCTGAACCTAACTACCAACAAAAGGCGGTTCAAGACTACGTAAAGCTCAAGAACATTACTATCGTATTTCAACACCTGTCTTGGTTTACAAATACGGTTGGTATGCGTACTAATTAGAGCGGGTAGTTACACTAAATAATATAATTCCTACTGTAAGCCATGAATCAAGTTTAGGGTCATTGAAAGATGAAATCATCGCAGATACAAGAAAATCATGTTTCACTCAAATATCTGATTCGGCTCACTAGTGTAAATCAGATACAAAAGTCATCGAAACAGAAGATAAAACCAGGAAAAGACGTAAAGAAATCCCACACATGCATAAGAAGCATCACCAAAGTATTCAGAGGATTGTGTTAACCAACAAATCAAAAAACCAACTGCAACCCTTCGAAAGCTTTCGTATTGCATTGTATACATGTTATAAACAACTACATTAACCAGAAGTGAACACTTACTTGAAACAGATTTAACCATAATCGTTAGGTCCAGTAATTCATCCAGAAACGAAGCAACTTTTTCAAAATCTTTTTCTTTAAATCCACGTGTGGTTAGTGAAGGTGTACCTAAATGAAAGAATATAGGGTATAAAATTTTCTACTATCCAGTGGATAACATGTATGCTGTTCATTGATACTTATAAGTTCCCATTACTATACTGGATGAACTGATCAGTCTCCCGTGGCGTATGGGATCCTTAAACGGATGCCTAAGCGTTACCTTGAGTTTCCTTTTGATGCTATTTGTTTAGTTTGGCTCTCAGTGGGAAAGCCACCACTCACTTGGATGCAGACACAGCCAACTAACGAGTCTCAAACAGTAGAAAATGTGTATTCTGGATCCCACCGCTGGCCATCATCAAGCAAATAACATGAACATAAATTGGTTGGTCACAGGAAAGCAACCAATCTCATGTTGTCTGGTCCGGAGTGAGGACTGAATACGATCGACCATTTCGCAATATGGCCACCAAGTTAAGAGGCTCACCATCGCGGTGCCCTTTGATAGATGTTATTTGATTGAAGGCGTTCAGCAAGGAGTTCTGGACCTAGGTTTGGCGCTTGTTAGCACTCGTCACCAAGGCAAATCTGCAGCTTCAAGGCAACTAATGTTCCACGCCATCCAGTGTTTCAGTCAGCATCGTTACCACTGAGCTATTCGGGCCACGACTGACCTGCTGTACGACTGGATAACATTAATTGCATGCGCTGACGCACAACCTAAACTTTAGTCAGTTGGTCAATATAAACGTAATGGTTCATACTGCTACACCTCATATCACCACATCAACTCCAACCACAAGTGGCCAGGTTTCTCGAGTGTAGATTAGAAGTGCTCCAACTAAACCTTTTACAACCAGGTGAAGTCATGAAGGTGTTTCAGACTGATGGATGCTTTTGTGGCTTTTCGTTATCGATTAGTCTCCTACTTCACGACCCCTGCTAGCATCCACAAGATAACTTGGAATACTTCTTATAAACACGGGCTCCTATCAATCTTGAAGAAGTGCTTTGTAAGGAACGTGCATAGATAAGGCACTATCCAGATTTCTAAAGCTTGTCTTCAATGTAAAACACGGCATTTGGTAAAGTGCTTGTTTAAGAGATGCAAATTCATGTACTGCGTAGATACTTTGAAAGATTGTCAAACTCATGACTGAAACGCTAGCAGAAATAGATATCTCTTCAAGTTTATTGATCAGTACGATTATCAGTCAGTGCTGAAACCTATCCTGTATTTCATCCCGAAAAGCATCGTATTCCCATGTACCCTGGTTACTATAACACGTCCATATATTGCTCAATTACTTGACATCCTCAAATCAATTTGGACCCCTTGATAAGAAACTGGTTTTCGTCATCCTCTTACATGAACTATTCAAACGGTACTAAGTGTCTGATGCATCGTCATGCATCCACCCATATGAAGGCACTGTCCTCATAGAAAACAGTTAACCAGAACTTTCTTGGCACATGTTATAAATGAATGACATTCTGAGAATAGAGGACTCAAAATTGAGACGAATAATGATTGACGAAGTCTGATAGATAAGAGTTTCACCACTTATACTACGATTACTAATAAATTCGAACGTATCCTGACGAACAATAGACTGGATGGTTTGGAAAAACGTCGGCACTGAGTTAGTATGATTCATCCTATAAGATGTATTTTATTTGTTATCCCGACGAAGTATATTAGAACAAATACCAAAAGTAACAAACAAATAATGAGAAGTCGTGACCACTGGGTCAAACAAGCCGAATATGAGGACAGGTATTCAACGACAGCATCGGGTGATGGTCGTGCTATATCGTGAACTCACAGAGGTTGGAAAAATGGACCACTGAATTCCAACCCAATGACTTAATGGTAACGTGCTGGCTACGGAACCTGAAGGTCCTAGGTTCAACCTCTGGAGGGGTCGCGGGCACGTACTGCTGAGGAGTCTCATACTAGGATGAAACAGCTGTCCAGTGCTCCTAGGTTTCCAATGTTTCTCCAACCGATGTTAGTCCATGATAAACTGCAACCTTAACTATGTTTTTGCTTGTTCTAGTATACTTCGCTGGGATAACGTCAGTAAAATACACCTTATACGATGAATTATTAGTGAAGTTTCTATGCTTTCACAAAAAAAACACTTCTGCCCTTTTTACACTTCTGTTTCTTAATCAGTGAGAATATTTTTGATTTTATAGAGAGAGATTATACTACGTGGCTGTAGAATAACAATCGTGACCAATCTATCATAAAGATCAATCGAAAACAACACTACGAAAAAACTATAAGGTAACATTATAACAATGATATCGATTTAAAAGACAATAACTACTTTAAATATTAGTCCGTACATTATATGCAACAAAATTTTTGTTTCGTATAAGCAATGGTTGGTTAGAAATACCACGCTACATTACCAACCGATTTCATTAGCTTCAAATACTAAGGACGATTATTTCTGCAAATACTTAGTATATTTTGCCAGATAAATCAAAACACATGTTCTAGGAGCGAAAGTCAATGGGCAATATTTAACTCTTTAAAATCGGAGAGAAGATAGAAATATTTTAGTTGTATAGTGCGCAGAAAGCTAACATTTTTGATAAAATCTCACCTATTCTCAAACCAGATGGTTGCTGAGCGCTAGAATCGCCAAGAACTGAATTCTTATTTAACACAATGCCAACAAGGTCTGCAACTAACTGAACTCGTGCTCCATCACCCCGGCTTAGTTTCGGTTTACCAGGTGAGTTAGATAAATCAACAAGTACAAAATGAATATCAGTACCACCTGTTACAAGACGAATACCACGCGATATAAGAGCGTTCGCTAAAGCCTGAGCATTTGATAAGACCTGAAGACCATAATCATGGAATTCCGGTTTACTTGCCTATAGAAAATTAAAAAAGAAAAGACCATCAGTGAACTACATAGCATCAAATGTTACTCGTCAATATTTTGTCGTAAGAAATAAGTTACGACGGGACGGAAAATTTGTTTTCACTACAAACCACTGGAAACCTGTTTCGTCTTGATATGGAACTCTTCAGCAGAGAGCACTCATGACACCACCTAGGACAATCAAGTCTCAAGGCGACCATATTACCATTCAGCCGATAGGTTGGAATCCAGTGGTCCACTATTTCCTAATTCTTTCAATTTACAATATAGCGAGACCATCACAAATATTATCGGTAGGCATGAACCTTACTTCCAACCAGGTAATACCAACAAGTTTACGAATTCATACTAGAACTAGGAGAAATAAGTTTCAAAACAAGTGACTAGTGAGCACTGAATAGTATTTCGACAGGTGATTTGTCGGGCACATAAAATCAACGTACATCCTCCCACACAAGTGTCTCGGCTCAGGTTGTCACCATTCACAGCAAAATGCAAAGAACAAGTCGGCAGAAAAAGATAGATATCAAGGTAGATAAAAGAGTACGGGAAAAGGAATTTGGAAATGAACGTCAATGAAAATATTTAAACTTTGGAGGACGTCAAAGAGTGAATGCATATATGCCATTGTGACCGATTCCCAGCTATGTCACCAAGCGTCTGCAACTATTGGTTCTTATGGCCTCGAAGAACCCCCAACGAGGTAGTCCGTACCTTTCACAAGCCTCAGACTAACCGTCAGGGACTTAATACGCTTTTTTAGGTGGTCCAGTGTCAAACGAACTATAGTGTACAGGACACTAAAGTTACGGTTGCTGGAACAGTGGGTCTGGTGATGGCTTTTTGAAGTGATTCATTCAGTAATACCTAGTATTAACGTAGACCGTCGATCAACGTAACACCAACCCCTTACAGACTGTTCGATGACGATGATGCTAATGATCTGAAACAGCTTTCGACTGCTGCCATATGCAGCCGCTGCTTCCATCATAATTGCATGTTTTGACCACCAAGTTTTGTAGTCCATACGTAAGTTCTGCGTGATCAGTTGAGTAAAGGACTTAAGCATACCGTTGTGTTCACTGTGGACGGGGATAGAAAGATGAGCGTTAAGAAGTGGAAAGGAACTCATACAAGCCCAATGTTAATAGGCGGGATGTTCTTTGAAGTGGCAAGTAACTTAACTCGTCCTTGTTATGAAGGTTTGCAAATGCAACCAATGTTCATCTAAATTGGTTGGAGGTTCGAGAAGTAGAACTGATTCTAGTTCGACTTGGCACTTCATTACAACGCATCTAATTTGCTTACTCTGACTTATTTAGGAAGATTAATTTGACGACCACCAAAATGTACATACTACGGAGTGATCAGAGTCCAGACAGGAACGACAGATCTGAATACATCTACGCAAATGGTGGATAATTGCAATATCTTTTATTAAGTCCAATCTTCGGTGGTAGAAGGGAGACACGAGGTAGAACAACGGCGATGGCTACCCCGAAAGTCAGCGGCGACGAGAAATATGTTGTTATCTGCAGGAAACTATAGAAGACAGTCCATATTCTCCAACTTGCAGCCAACTAATGTCCATTGGCAACACAAGTGGCTCTCCTGCAAGCTAAGTCGCAGGACCTGCAGGCTTGATTATGAAGGTCACTCAGTTAGTGATGAGACTCTTCCCTAACTGCACCTGAGCTACGTTCGATCGGAGGATAGACAGAGAAGTAACGTTTCAATTCTGGATTTTCAGCTTTAGCACTCGGTGCGACACGAAAATCAGCAAGCCTAGTTGCCAATAACATAGTGTTCTAGGATAAGTGAACTTTAAAAGTACTATCTGAGCTGTTACATGAAAAAGTTAATCGAGCTTACATGCAAATCACTGAAATACAACACAGATCGATAGTGAAGCTTTCTAGATTCCTGGTCAAACCTGTTGGTTCTTCGGTCTACATCAAGATCTGGACTCTGAGGTTAACCAGCTTAAAAGGCACGCGTATTTTCAAAATGATTGAGTCAGATATAGTACTGAAGATTAGCTTGGTTAAAGCAACTGTTTTATTGATTAATTGTCCCTTGGGTTCCTAGTAGAACATAGGGCTTCAGTAGCACGCATTCATTGCACTCTCTTCTCTGCAGTTTTTTGAACCTGGCTCCACCACTCCCCACATGCTTTCATTTCTTCCTCGCACGATCCCCTCCATCTCACCTTTGGACGTCCAACTCGTCGTTTCCCTTTTGGATTCCACTCAATGGCCTGGCCTGTCGCGTGATGTTTCCAAAAGGCCTTTTCAGTGTATGTCCATTCCAATCCATCTCCACTTCCTTCTGCGTATTTACTGGGCAATGGGTTCTTGCTTCGTTGGTTCGTTGCTAGCCAGAGTGAGTTCCTTGTTGCTTATTCTTATTATTCTGGCCATCTATCTGATCTTCAGTATCGAGTGAGTGAGCGTAGGCGACAGCTGTTGATGCATGTCTGCAGTTTGTTGGAAATGCTTTTCGTAACGCGCCAAGTCTCTCAACCATCACATAGAAGTACTGACTGACTTGACTGAATTCGCATTGAAAATCCGGATCTTGTTCACGCTTTATGTTGAGTGCAGTAGATCTCCACACTGATTTCAGGTTAATGAAGGCCTGCCTGTCCTGCTGTCTTTCCGATCCTGACTGCTTTGACATCCTCATGTGTGTGTGTGCCGCCTGTAGTTGAGACGACGCTGCCTAGATAGGTAGGTGAAAGACACAACTTCCTTTAGATATCCCCCGTTCATGGTGATTATTGTTTGTTTGTTGTTGTTGGTGGTGGTTTGGTATCCTGATCATCTGCATCTTCTCAACGTTTACCTGAAGGAAGTCCCACCTTCGCTGCCTCTTCTGTCGACTTGTTAGTTTCCGCTTGCAGATCTTCGAGTTTGTGTGACAAGACATTAGACATAAATCATCATCGGTGAAATCCAAATCTTCTAGGCTCTTTTCATTGGTCCAGAGTGTGTCCATCTTCTCGGTCCTTACAGTTTGCTAGATGATCCAGTCGACCACAATCAGGAAGATCATTGGCGATAGTAGGCAGCCTTGTCTTACTCCTGTCTAAACTTCAAAGGCGTCACTCAGCTTTCCATTGTCAATCACTTGGCATGTAGCATCATAATCATCATATAGCTGTTAAATGAGGTTAATAAAGATTTGTGGCGCTCCGTAGTTTTGAAGCGATTGTCAAATCACTTCTCGGTCGAGGCTGTAGAAGGCCTTTCCAAAGTCGATAAAGTTGAGGTAGAGGGTTGACTGTCATTCTATGCTCTCTTCTGTGATGATGCGTAGCGTAGCGTTGCAATCTGATCTGCACATGATTTGTACTTCCTGAAGCCAGCCTGCTCCGGTTGTAATTTTGAATCCAGAGCATTTTTTAGTCTCTCCAGAATGATATGGCTTAATATTTTGCTTGGGGTGGATGGCAGCGTGATTCTGTGCCAGTTCTTGCAAAAACTTAGGTCTTCCTTCTTTGGTGAGTTTGACAAGGTAGCCCTTCTTCCAATCTGCAGGTACCTTTCCTTCCTTCCTTCCAAACCTTCTGCAGTAGTGGTGTGAGCATGTCCACTGTTGTCTCTGCGTCCGTTTTCAGTGCCTTTGGCGGAATTCCATCTGGTCATGCTGCTTCCCTGGATTTCAGCAACTTTATAGCGTTCAGGACTTCCGCTTTTGTCGGAAGGCATGTGTTCACAGGTAGTTCTGCCTTTGCTGGTGGTATTTCCGGCCGAGTTGCAGGCGGTGGTCGATTCAAGACATTTTTGAAGTGGCCAGCCCTTTGTTTCCTTTGTTTCTCCTCTGTGGTAACTAGCTTTCCTTCACTATCTTTCATCGGTTTCATCTGAGTAGATCTCTTCCCTTGCAGATAGTAACCTGGTTATTTGATATAATGTTGTGAATATAATAATCACCAAATCGTTGAATGCCCAGAATTCTGTAAACAGTTCTCCATTCTCATTCATCATTTCACCGAGTATCTCTCGACCCATGATTAGTTCTCTTCCTGTGTTGTCCGCTCCACGCAGTTTGGAATTCATGTCACTCCACCCATTAGAATGAATTTTGACGTCACCAACTGGGTAGGGGTTTTGTCCAGTACTGATTGCAGTTGTCTGTAGAATTCCTCCTTCTTTTCTTGATCTGCATTATTTGTAGGTGCATAGCATAGCATTGTATGATTGTGACTTTCCTTCCTTTTGAGTTGAACCTTGCTGTCATGATCGTGGTGTAGAAGGAGATTGGTTCCCATTGCCTGAGAGCCTTCGATACTGTTGGTGACATCATGATAGCCACTCGAAAACTCAGTGTGCTCGTTTGTGGTTGTCGTCTGGGTGACAATATGTGAGTATACTATTGACTCCTCTCCAGTTGACAGTTTGGAGAGTTCATTTCCATTCTATGTGGTGTCGCAGACTCCTAGCACTTCTGTGCCATATGTTCTCATTTCTTTTGCAATCTGGACAGCCTTGCTAGGTTCAAACATAGTGCGGACATTCCATGTCCCCATGTTTACTTTTGTTTTCATCATGAGAGAGGAGACCCATCAGCCGGTTGACTTCCTGAAGGCTTTCACGAACTGGCGTTCTTTCGACTCTTTGATTCCAGCTAGGAATAATTTTGTTTTTATTTTTTATATTTTCTTTGTGCTTAGAAGTTTTTTTAGCGATTTGATTGGTTTTACGGAGTAGAGTTTCTATCCCAATGGCCGACCTTCCCTCTTTATCCAGGCTTAGGACCAGCTAGTAACTAGTGAACTAGTTACCTAGGCGAGGTTAAAGCAACTGTTTAGTGACTCATTACAGTACATGCTGACCAGAATCTCAATCAGTGACAAGATGAGTCTGACAAGGTTTCACACTAAAGACAAATTTGAAAGTGACAAAGATATAGCAGTTGAGTTCATATGTAAAAATCACAATGAGATGTAAGTAATCTGAATGAGTGAGTATAAAGTTTTAAATACAG